GCAGAGAAGTGCTGTCGGTCTCGCTCATTTCATTGTCGGTGACATACTTTTAAAAAGTAAATCAGAAATAAGAGAATATGTAAAATTGTCATATTTCACACAGAACCAATATGTTTTCATTCATCCGATATTATACAATGGCTACATTGGTTTCTGAAATGCGAATCTCTGAACTTTGAGCTAATCAGAACCCATTTTTTGGGATGCGAGGACCACGAATCTGGTAGAACACCCATAACCAATGTCCATTATGTTTACGTATAGTTTTATTAATTGAGATTGCTGACTGATGCATTTAATATGTAAGATATGTTTACAGTGTCAGCGAGCCTGCGGATCCAAATGTCCAAAATGGGGACCCCTAGAAGGCCAACGTTTGGAGTGATACTTGTAACAATTCTATGTATTTATCATATATGCCGCTCCATAAGAGGTCCCGGGCCCCTCCCCTTTTTTCCCCTAAATCCGCCTCTGCTAACATGCAAGTAAAAAGCTTCTGGAAAGATTTGTTTTAGTTAAAATTGAACAGTCTGAGCAGTTACTTGATTCAGATAAAGTTAGTTTGCAGTTTGCCTACAAGTTTCAGAAAGAAGTCTTCAAGAGTTAAAAAAAATATAAGTCTGAGAAATACCAGAGACTTGTATGTCACTGGAGATATACTAAATGTAAATGGCTTGCTAAAACAAACCTAATGTAATACCATAACGTTCTAAAAGACACTACCACAATCATAAAATGAAATACTACCAGGCTGGTGCTAAGTACACTCAGCTTTAATGTTTGGAAGAGAGAGAAATAAAAGGAATGTACAATGTCATCAAGTCAAGAAGATCTGGATTGCACTTATGACACATGTCTCACTTCGAGCAAACAGCGACAAATGCAGCAATTAATATAATTCTACAAATTACTGTAACATATTTATAGCTAGGTCGTAGCCATATTAGATATAACGAAAATGAAAGAAATGGGCTATTAATGCGTTTTTTTAACAAAAATCGACTTTTCAAAATACAAATGCTAAATACTAATCTGTCAAATAGAAAGTTTGAAAATATATTTTGGAGTTTAGCGTGACATCCATCATTTTTATTGAACTAGTTCACATTTTTGTTTAGGGGCCAGCAGCAGTCCGCCTCCGGGTGAGGGATTTTCTCGCTGTGTTGAAGACCCATTAGTGTCTGCTCTTTGGTCGGGTTGTTGTCTCTTTGACACATTCCTCATTTCCATTTTCAATTTTATTGAGTTGTACGTCAAGAACATATATGCGAGTAGTATAATACCATTGCAATTTTCATGTAGATAGTATGGCCAATTTTCCGTGTAGTAATTTTGAAAAAAAGGAAATCCCAATCTAATTAAAATTCATGTCAATAGTAACTCGCATGCTCGTATTGCATGCACACGTATAAAAATTGCGGTTTTTATCCAACGCAATCATAGGTTTGAACGTTGTTTTCAATTTAGACTTGTATGTTTACGGTATACCATCTTTTCCGCAAGTTTATTGTTTTCTGTTTAGTATTAAATTGATAGTAAAGATCCATTTTGTTACATCTGGTGATCCGTTTATTTTGGCAATCGCCATGGTAGTCAGCAGTGTTTAAGAACATCCGTTGTTCGACCTGCTAGTCAAATGCGTTTTGTTAAAATATACTTTTTCACGTTTTTGTCTTTTGGAAAATGTTGTTTGTGCTGTATTTAGACCCCTCTACCAAGAAATTTGTTTATAACAATAACGAAATCAGAGATTTTAATCAGATTGAAGAAAACCCCATCAAACTAGAGAAAAGTCATTCAACTGTTCAAGTGAAAAAAATCAATAATAAACTTACTCTTATAAGCCAAAATTTCTCACTCGTGGACTACTTCAAAAACTAAACCACCAAGAACGGTATTTCTTGATGATATTATGATGATACAGGGTCGGATTCGGGAATTTTGAAAGGAGCTCGGGTCGTAATTCCATAAAACTGAAACATAATTTGGACTATTTTATGCTCATTCGGTATTCAAGAGCTTGAAGCTGCTAGTCATTCAGACTTTATAAAGCGTCACCTGTGTCTGAGCAGAAAGTTGACGAACCAGAGATATGTCAAAGAACGTCTCGTCCTTTTTCTTCACAAGGAAATGCCTGTACCAAGTCAGGAATATGACAGTTGTTTTCCATTTGTTTGATGTTTCAGCTTTTGATTTTGCCATTTGACAAAGGAATTTTCCTTCGGTATTTTTGCTATTTTACTTTTTACTTGCAAATTTCTGAATTTAAGTATATGAAAGATCACAGTTTCGAATTAGAATTAGGTCGATATAATGTCCATTTTTATCAATTATTATTTCGAATGATCATAAAAATGATTATGTTTTTGTCATATTGTATAAATATGTTGTGTAGTATCACTTAACCCGTTTAAGCTTTTTTTCTTTTATGCAATAAATTATCGACAATTTCAGAAAAAGCTGTTGATGTAGCATTTAGTATGAGAAATTGTACATTTTTAATGTGATTAAAAAAAAATTAAATTCCAAGATACACATGTTATTTTGTTTGGTACAAGTACATTAAAACTGTGTACGGCCGTATTTTTTTTACCCGACTAGAAAAGAAATCATCGTTCTTAATACATGAATATGCAGCAGAACTCCAAACTGAAATAAAAAAGAAAAGTAACGTTTTGTCTTTGATTAATGATTTTTTTATAAGTTGTTATTGGCTTGGAACTAGCTTCCAGTTGTTATTGGCTTGGAACTAGCTTCCAGTAAATGCAAGTACTCACAGATAGGTTCTTTGTGTCTTTGGTGTTTATGTTACTTGATTATTTTGCTTTGTTTCGATCTGATGAGTCCAGTCCTTTTCAATTAATTTTTATAGTTTGTTGTTCATTGTTGTGCTATTACACCACTGCCCAGGTTAAAGTGAGGAGAGGGCGGGAGCCCGCAAACACGTTTAACCCCGCCATATTATGTATGTACCTGTCCCAAGTCTAGAGTCTGTAATGCAGTGGCTGTCGTTTAATGTTACTGTATATCATATTTGTTTTTCGCTTATTGTTTTGAACATTAATCAGGCCGTTGTTTTTCTCATTTAAACTGCTATACATTTAATTTGTCGGAGCCTTTTATAGCTTGCTAAGAGGTATATATGGATTTTGTTTATATTAATTTTAATGACCGTACACCTATAGTTGCTAACATCTACGTCATTTGTTCTCGGTGGATAGATGTCTCATTGGCAATCATATACCGTATCTACTTATTATATATATATCTATGTTCTTTCTTAGATCCGTTTGTATTCCAAATTAAACTACTTTTTAAGAGAATTGCCATTGAAATGGATTAACATATTATCCTTGTGATGTCTTTATACATAAATGTTCTATAATGATAACTATAATGATAATGTCTTAAACGAGGATTTGCATAGCCAGAGCATACCAAGGATCTCGGAATATTAAGTCCAGAGACATATGTGTATATGCTACAATGAATTTGTACATAATCCCTGATTTTCCAGGGATTTTGCATAATTATTAATCACTAAAATAAAGTTAGTGATTATATATAATCCCTGAAAATGACCAGTGATTTTACATATATTCACTGAAAATTTTTACAAATTCCCTGGAATATTTTCAGGGATTATCCGCAATAATACAAAGATTCTTCTCTGTTTGGTTCAAATACAGACAAATAAATCATATGTGTAACCTATCTATGGTTTAAGTGGACAGTTTTTATGCATTCCCTGTCCATTTATGAAATCTTATCAAAGTGAACAGTCAGTTTTTTCTGGTGATATTCTATTTAACTGTGCCGTTAAACCACATAAACTCATAAACAAATAAGTTTTTTTTTTAATTGAACTAAATAACACCAGCATAAATGCACAGACCATGTAATTTGCTGTACTACAAAGGGGATGAAAGTTAACGAACAAGGAATTCGAATTAAGCAAAGAAATGCAGCTAAACGTTCAGAAACACAAACAGAGCACATGCTTGACAGATTGAGCACAATTTTAGAGGTGGCTGTGATATCGATTCCGTATGTTGATCGTGGAAAGGGAGACCCCAAAAGCATAATGGCCATCGTTCATAAAAGGGCTGAAAAGGATATTGCCTAACTACGAAACGTGAAATTATGCTCAGATAATACTCAAGGAATCAATTTGAGGTGTCTGATTGACCTTTTTAGCACCTTCCGATGTTTCTAATGAACACTTCATTTTTCTTCAAAGTGCAGTAAAATCAGATTCAATATTTGAAGGCTAAGGGTTTTTGTTTTTTTTTTGTTGTTGCGAAAATTGAGGATAAGCAGAGCAAATACTCAATAGTAAAGAGTCTGGATAACCCCTAATCAGAGGCGGATTTAGGGGGGGCCCGGGCCCCCCTTTTGTGGGAAAAAATTGGTTGATTATATAGGGAATCACTAAAGCATTACTGGAGCGGGCCCCCTCTTAGGCAGTCAATGGGCCCATTCTTATGAAAATTTCTAGATCCGCCACTGCTAATTTTACAAATTCACTGTAACTTATATATGTCTCTGGTAAGTCTTATACCAAAGACATAATATAATATATTGTATTACATGTCTCTGATCTTTAAGTACTATACAAATCCTTGTTAAGTGGTTTTAATAAAATTTATACCAATTAGGCTCATTACTATCTGGGACTAATCTGAAACTTCTGTAACACAGTGTTGATAGTAGTCTCAGGACTCAGTAATATTAATATTGGAACATGACTTTGATTTGATTTTTATTTAAAAATTGAATCCATAATTTCGGCATGCATCGTTTTCATACACTTTCGTTTCAGAATTCAAAATTATTTTAGTTGTAATTTAATAGAAGTTTTCGTCTATTACCCCAAAAACTAAATAATGTCCTCAAAGCACCTGTTAAAGTTTTCGCGCAAAAATGCATTTAAAGATTTCGACGGAATTGTCCGAATAAATTTTGACCAATCAGATTTTGTCTATTTCCCGCCGTATTTTGCCGACAGGAAGCCGAATCGGTCATGGTGTCTTCCGGTGAAACCAACATTGGAAGTAAAAATCATTTATTGTTGAACCTATGTAGTAACATTAAGTTTGAAATCAACTGTGACAGCTACTTTTCAATTGTTTCAGTATCACACAACACATGATTGTCGAACAAGCGAGATTTGTAACGAATTATTACCCTTTTTGTTTTGCATTTGTTGCACAGTTTCACCATTTTTACAAATTTTAGTATTATGATACTTTGCATGCAATTTTTCTTGATGATGCCTTCAGATGAAGTTCAGATGTTTAAGTATGTTCAATCTGTACTGACAGGACAGTTCAAAGAATAGATGGTTTGAAGCTGAAGTTTCATTTGAAAAGATTTGTTGTCCTTTTTAAATTCAAAGTACACATATTTGTTGTGAGCCTTTCAGTGAAAAGTTCATCTGTCTAGAGATTAAATGAAAATTGTTGGGGTAGTTTTCCAAGTTATCGTCTTAAACATTCAATGTTCATGAGTAAAGTGCACAAACAGTCATCATGATAATGTATTTTGCTGCCTATCACTGATTATTATCCAAAATTGTACTTCATTAACTCAACAACAAAATCAAGGATTTAGGGCTGTTGGGGGTCATACTGAACAGAGTCTGTAGAAGTCTGGTCGTCTTTTAATTGGTTTATTAAATAACAATAAAATATAGTTTATGATGTATTATTTTATTAATATGAATCTTTTTGTCAATTGATTACTGTAACGGTGACTTTTGATATATATATTCACTGAACATGGACGTCCCCATCTCTGGAATTAGCGACCATGGAGTGTTGGTGCAGTTTTGTTGTTTAAAACCAGTATTTCATATATAGATATGTGTTTTAATATATTGCTTTTATGTGATTGTAGTGTCTAAAGTTTTGTGTTTTATATTTTACTGGTTAAATTCACTTGCAGAGAAGTTTATAGTTACAGGACCGTGAATGATTATTATGTTTGACAATATGGTCGACATAGACTACATGTATGGAAGAGTCTAGATAAAAAACACCTATTTTTTACCAGTAAAAATTTCCATAAAACATATAAAATGCTTAATACAAGATTTTTTGAAAGAAAATTGTTTCAAAATTGATATGAAAATTTAGTAAATTGTACTTGGGCATTACCATAGATATAATGTATATCAATATTCATTTGTCATATGCCACCAGTATTTTGAATATATATGCGTTTTGCAAGCGGTTTGTCAAAACTATCCGAAACGAAAATAAAGAGACAAGAAAGTTCTGCAATTTCTAGATCATTATGTCTCAATTTAGCATTTAACAATTTAATACATTTGTAATCAAGTAATCTGCATGTCAACTTTAAGATAAAACTCTAATAAATATCAATGGAATATCAATAGGTTGCATAATGTAAAGGTGGAAACCCCTTGGATTTAAATATTATTGACCCATACTCCAGAAAATATCAGTCACAGATTTCACTGTTTTATGACAAAATATTTACTGAAGCTCTGTAAATAAAATACACATACAAACTAAACAAGCTTTTACTAAAAGAATATTCAATCCAAATGGACCCCCCAAGTTAGAAAAAGGATCAGCTGGGAAGTCCAACTTTGCTATCAAGTTTGTTTTCCAAAGTGACGGATTATGTCAATCTATGCCCTATTTCTTGGTAAACCAATAAACTTGCAGAATTTATATCAATAGGAAACTGAAAGTAACCAATAAAATAACACACAGACTAATGTAATTCAATTAAGATAATTTATCATACAATATAATATTAGATCAATAATGAACAAACATTTCACTGGATTATTCGTGAATTATTCTTAGTTTGAAATCTTACCATTCAAGGCAGGGCTTAAAATTAGTGGTCGCCCACTCAACGTGTGTTTTTTGATGTGGGCTAATAAATATGTTCACTTCAATATTTCCACTTACCTGCCTCCTTAACTAATTGCAATATCCCTCTACTTCCCCATACGTTCGTCGAGTTTTTTATTATAAATACGGTAATACCTCCAGTTATCTCCCTTGCGTAACTCTTCAGTTTCTCTTGGCGGACGCCATTAGAGCACATGCATTGCTTTCCCCATACGTTTATTTGGATAATAAGAATTTGAATCGTAAGATGGAGAAACAGGAAGATAAAGTTTAAGAAGTGTGTAAGGTGTCCCGACAAGATGAACACTCTGGATGAGCACAATGAATGTTACAAACATCGTATTTGTAACGAGTCATTCCCATGTAAAATTTTCAAAAATTGGTCAAAGGAGCATCAGAGTTTGATCATGAAAATGATGGAAAAAAGTGTTCTGAAGACAATTAAATTGAATAAACTGTCTCAACCCGCCTGTGTAGACAGGTTGACAGATTTCAAAGACATAAGTCCACCTGTGGAGGCGGCAGTCAGAGCTTCAAATGAAGACACTGTCACTGAAAATACACCTGACAACAGCACCTGTATGGTCGATATTTCGGCCATTGTACAAGAACAGGTACAATTACAAATACAAAACTTATTCAAAAATCAATGCTAATGTTCTTGAAGTTCAACCTCCTGGAAAGCCTAGTTCTGCAACTTTGCAAAACCAAAGGCCACATTTTGACAAATTCAAAAGCTATGATGATCAGATGTCTTTAATGATGAATGTTGATCAAGATCAGGTTTCTTATCTTGATCCAGAAGAAAAGATTGATGATGGGTCTGCATCGCCACGATCTAGTCAAATGTTAACATGCACCCCAGTCGAGGTACCACAAGGGGCACCTTGTGCTTCTGATCCAATTGAGTGGGTTTCATTTATTCATAAAATGGCAACAGTTCTCAATATAGAACCTGAATCTTCAGAGGCTCAAGATCAGGAACGTCTTTCTTTTGTTTTGGCAAGATTAAAACCTGACAAGAATGATAAAAAATCAGCAATTAAATTACCTTTGGAAGGTACAATTATTGACATGGTAAAATCTGTAGAAAAGGAAGCTATCTCTGGTCATTTGAAAAACAGAGCTGTTCGTGGCAGGGATGATGAGGCTTTCATGGTTAAGAAAGATGATTTTAATGCTTTCTGTAGTCCTAAGTTAGATGACAATATTGAGGAAGTGCTAGCTATTGGTCATATAGGCAATTCTGTTAGATCTGGAGTTAATATTCCACCTTTTCACAGAGAATTAGATAATGATTTTCGTCGTATGGACAATTCTGCCAGGGCACTTTTTAGAGCAGTTTCATATGGTACTATGATTTCTGCCTTTTTGGATGAGGCAACTTGTGAAGATGATAGGATTGAAGGACGTAAAGCATTAATTAATTGCTTTAGAAGTATGGCTGATTTATCAGGCAGAATCATGGCAAATTCAGTATTAAGTAGAAGGAAACTTTTTCTGAAAAATGTTGACTTCATTTGCAAGTCCACAGAAAAGAAGTTGTTAAAGTTGCCCGTTTTTGGCAGTCAACTTTTTAATGGACAATACTTTGACACATTGCATACATCAGCAGAGAATTTACGGGATGCTAAAGAGACCCAGAATGTTTATATTAATGCTGGTAGTTATTGCAAGAACTTTAACAAGTCTAGAGATGATGACATCTTGTAGGTTATTTTTGTAAATTTTCTTTCGTCCACCACTGAAATATTTACAAATCATGGATCAGAAACACACAGACTATAAACAAAATCCGTATTCTAACGATAATAAATACAGACACATGAATGACACAGTTGACAGAAGAATTATGATTACAAAAGTGAAAAATACGCATTCCACATGCATAAACAGACATTTGGTTGGATCCCCTTAATTAAATGTCTATATATCAGTGCAAATGCATTGTTTCAGTTGCTTAAATTATTCAATTCAATTCAAATCTTTATTGTCATCACACTACATTTCATAGCTTGTGACACAACACTACAAAATGAAAACAAACAATATCAACAGGACCATTTATATACATAATGAAAGTAAATATTTCAAGAGATCCCTGTCCTCAGTTCTATGGACTTATTTTAAAAAAGGAAACTTAGCCTATGTGTCCCAAAATTTGTATTGAGAATCATGATTTCCATAAATTTTGTGGGCTATTAAGATTTACTGTAGGCCCCAAAACCTATTTTGCTAGGGGCCCACATGGCTCCTTGAAAAATAAATAAAGTTCAAACCCTGCAAGAAAGGATAACTCGGATTTGAAAGCCTGTAATGAACTTTGGCAAATTTATCAAAAGTATGCATCTCTAATTAATTAAACATTCTCAGGCTTGAGCAATAATAAAAACTAATTAAGTCCAACATGATTACTTCATTCCTATAGTTTTAAATTAACTTGCCTATACTACACACCAGAAGTTTATATTCAAAACATCTCTGTTTATCTATATTATAACAACGATCATGTATCAAAATACGTTCACAACTTTGATAAAAGTGGACCATGAATAAATTCCTTGTGTCTTATACTAATGGGTTGATATTTTCAGTATTTTATCTAGATAAATAAAGGATTGCTTGAGTTTTCATATTTTTTCTATTGGCTGTCTACCAAGTTCAGCTTTAACCCCTGATTTAGAAAATGTCTTTTTGGTACCAAAAACTTGTATATTTACAGAAATTACAGTGGCGTAGCTTGCATGTATGCTCAGATGCTCAAGCATCCACATCATTTTGACAAAAAAAAATGTGTTTGCAGCAGTTAAACTTTTAACTGCTTGAAATTCGGAGGTATAAAAATTTAACAAGGGTCAGGATATGAGGATACAGTCCATTCTTTTCCGAAGCAGTATAAGTGGTCTTTCATTAAGGATAATTTAGTTTTTGTAAACAATTTGGATAAATCGCAGAAAAGTGTTCTCAATTTTTTTTGTAAAAAGTCTACATCGTCGGCTCCAGCAAGCGCAGAGGATGATGATACGCAGACCCGCAGACATGTTTCAACTGAAATTGAGCCTAGCGGAGCAATGGCTTCTACATCTGACTAGTAACGTTACTAACAACTAAACCACCATATCGTTTCCTTCACATGCAAGACGACATGATAAAAAATCAATTTGTAATAGAGTGTGATCATTCCTAGGCGTATAAATTCCTGTTTCTATCTAGGTACAAATATTAATTTTATTTTCAATTAAAGAACAAAGTTCTAATGTCCCCCGCATTGCTCATATTTTATCTATCCAAGGAACAAGGGCAATAACTGAAAAAAACATTTTTTTCCTTTTAATTTTAATTCTAATATCTTAAGAGAAATAAAATCTTCAGAGCAAATGCAATGGGATTTCCATTATAATTTATATTTCAAAGGGTCATAAAAATATCTGATGACTTATCTTCGAAAGTGTCAAAGACATTGCTGATGATATAAGTTTCATAAAAATCTTACAAGAATTAGAGAGTGCTAACAAGACCAGATGGACGCCCGGTATTTCCATGTCTCCTGCAACGCATTAAGCCAAGTTATCAAAATCTCCATGGGGAGACTCAAATTCCTGGAAAGGGGGGTCAGTTCAGTTCCTATATTCGGGAGTTCCTTATACAGAAGTGCCACTGTAATGGGTCCATTTTTGAGATGTCAAATATAAGATTAGGTTGGAAACTTTTACATCAAATATTTATGAATTGAATGATGGTAGTTTCAAGAAAACAATAAAATACAGTTGGAAATATAATAATATGAATTGGTGGGTATTTTGAAATTAAACAAAAATCTAACAAGTGTCTGATTCTGGTGGAGTACATGTGCTTACAGGAAAAATGTCTGAAAAAAAATAATTTTCTACAAAAAATGGTCCAAAAAATGTTTGCCTCGCTCCGCTCGCAGACAGTTTGGCATCCACATCATTTCAACCCTGGCTACGCCACTGAATTAACATTACAGTCATTAATTGACTTTATAAAAAGATTCATATTAATAAAATAACACATTATAAACAATATTTTATTATTCTTAACACAAATAAACGAATCTTAAGCCTCCAAACTCTACCAGACTGAAACAGAAGTCTATGTACAGACTGTTTAGTATGACTGGTTCTGTTGTAGTCTAAATATTTATGACATCTTGAAAGGCTTTTTTAATTTTTTACTGTGACGCCTTCCTATGATGTCATAAGGACAAAGTTATTTTTTCCCCTGGACTTGGAGAGGAAATTTTGTTCTCAATTTTGAGGCCATATTTGTCATGAAATTTTCAGTGACAGCTAGAAATGTTTGAATATATAACAATTTTTACCTTTTGTGTGCTTGTTGGTGCAAAGTATTGCCAGAAATATCCTAAAAGTGATGATGTTACAATTCCATCCGACATGATGATGACTTACTTCTCTTTGTTAAATGGTGTCCCAGATTTCCCAAGATCCTTCACTTTCGGAGAGTTTAAAATAAATTTACAATCAGACTCTTGATGGACCTAAATTTCTGGATTATATAAATGGAACATTTTAAAATTGTTAAAAGTTTTCTGTTTAGAAATGGATCATTCTATAATGACAGCAGAAATGTCCTGTTCCCATGATAATTGGGTACATTTGTATAGTTCATACTAATATTTTTTTTCTAATTTGGGTCTCTTTGACATGTTTGAAGTCTTAGCATTGGATCAATCTATTATGACAGCAAAAATGTCCTATTACCGTGATAATTGGGTACATTTGTACAGTTCATAGTAATATTTTTGTATTCTGAGTGTCTTGAGGTCAAAGTTTTATTTGCCTGTTTGCAGAATGTCATTTTAAGTCTGTTGAGTGCATGAGGAAAGGCTGCAAACAAGATTGGTCCTTTTGTTGTTTATGCATTAGTAGAGCTGTGTAATTTGAGGAGCATCTGTTGCATAACTAACTTAGTCAGTGTTTTACTTGTTTTGCAGTCAAGGCAAATTTTGACAGCTATATTGAACGATTGGGGACAAAATGGTAGCTTTGCTATATTGTATAACTAATTTTAATCACTTATCTATTTCTTCAGTTAATGTATTATCTGTTGTAGGATGAAGTATGGACAGTGAGTCTGCTGCGGTACCTAACCATCAAGCAATATCTCCTTCCTCTCCTACAAAAAATCCAGCCATGAATGGAACCTCACAAGCCCCGTCAGGCTTCCGCCATATTCTACCACAAATTCCTACCATGAATAGGAACCCTAAAATTGCTCAAAGTAAAGCTAGTGCTAAGAAGGAAGTAGCTAGTCCACCAGGAAGTGTTGGTTCTAAGTTGGTAGTGGAAGATGCTAGCAAGGTTGTTGCAATAGATGTAGATGTCAAACAAGAAATATCAGTCCAGAAGATGCCAGAGGAGGGTTAGTAGTATTGCTTAATACCCTGAGAAACTTATAAGAGTACATGTAAACTTAAAATCATTTTTATGTATATCTGAAGTGATTTGTTATTTTAGTTTTGGTACTATAACTATTTTTTAATAGTATTTAATCTAATTGCTTCATTTGAACATGCAGAAAAGAATTTAATTGCATCTTACCTTTCTGAAAAGCACAAAAATTAAACCCTGAAAACTACTTTTGTACTAGAAATCTTAAATTTTATAAGTCATGAAAATAATTCAGTATACCGTACCCTTTTTGAACTAAAAATAACAAACTATACCATATTCCTTAATGAGCTAGGAACGTCTTTGTTTGTAAATATATATCTTTTTTTAGGGGTGCCAAATGAAAATGAAGAGTCCGCAGAAAATGAGAAGCCAAAAGAATCTGACAAGTCTCCAACATTGAGTGCAGTATCTACCTTAGATCCAGATAAAAAACCTGAAGGAAAGTCAGATCAAAATCAGGATCTCAAAACACAAAAAAAATTGAAGTCATCATCAGAAAAATCAGAGCTTAAAGGTACAAAATCTCCGGAAAAGTCTGAACAGAGGCCACAGAATCCACCTGAAAAGAAAGTGGGAAGTTATAAAAATATTTTTGATGACAAGGTTGTTGAAGGTAAAAGACAACGCAAACCTAAAGTTATCGATGATGATTTGACTGGGTCACCTAAAACAGCTGTGAAAGCACCAGAAGTTAAACTTAAAAAACGAGAATCTTTAACAGTAGTAGAGGAGGAAAAACCAGTAGAATGGTTGGTTGGTGATTGCCTTTGGGGAAAAGTGGCAGGACATCCATGGTGGCCATGTATGGTATCTTTTGATCCCCACACTGGTATATATACAAAAATGCAAGGTAATTAGATATTAATAATATAGCATTCATATTTGATATAACTATAAGAGCAAGGTTTCAGTAGACCAAGTGAAATTGAAATATATGTATACTTTTGTTTAGTGACATGCATGTTTAGACAAGTATTATTTAAAGGGCATAAGCTTCACAGTTTTGTTTTTGTTTCAAACATTTATAGAACTGGAGTTGTGAAATAATATTTTGCTCTTCCTAGTCGTCTTGATTCAATTTTTCAAAATAAGGTCAAAAACATTGCTGATGTATTATTGGCTTGCAAGTCAATAATTCAACTCATTTGCACATTCATGGGCTAGGCATGTTTAGTTATTAAAAGAAAATAGTGTCAACATTGAAAAGTGAAACAAGGTAGCCACTGGGAAGAATCCTTTTGATGACTGATTCTGTCCACAAAATATCATTCTAATACAGGTTAAACGATGATTTACATATTTTTTCAATCAATGGCATGAATATCAAACAGATCTAGAAAATTCTTCATTATACGATTGCACGTGCTTGGAAAGAAGGGAAGTATAAAGTTTCAGAAATTTTTCACAAACTTTTCTAGGTGATCATGTGATTGTAATGTGTTATGAACTAGGTAACATGACCAATTAATTTTAGATTGCTCACTGTTCTTGTTGCCATGTGGACATCTTAATACATAAATATATACAGGTAAATTCAATACTTTTGTTTTATAGGGAAATCAAGGATGTATCACATGCAATATTTTGGTGATGAATGTGAAAGAGGATGGGTTTATAGCTCATCAGTGATGGAGTTTAAAGGGAAGAAAGATTATGATGAACATGTGAAACAAGCATTTGATAATGCGAAAAAGTCTGATCGTACTAGACTAGAAAAATTATATAAAACTTACCCTGGTAGATTAAAAGCCTGGAATATAGCAATACTGGAAGCTGAGTCTGCATTGCCATTGTCAAGAAATGAACGTAAACAGAAATATATATTTGATTATGAACAACCCAAACCTGTTGATGTACCCCCGGTCGCTGCTGAAGTGACCCCACTAAATGGAGATGTTGAATCAAGTTCTGAACAAAAAAAAGTGGATAAAAGTAAAAAGAGAATGTCATTACCTGTTAAAGAAAAAACTAAAGATTCTAAAGTACAAAAAAGAAAATTAAGTTTAGATGTTAACTCTCCTAATATTCCAAAACCAAAAAAGATGAAAGTATCTGAGGAGGAAACACCAGTAAAAACAGATACACCCAAAGTTCAACAAATTGAAGGATGTTTTGAAGTATTTTGTCAAAAAAATAAAGATACAATGATGGAAGAACATCCTAGTTTTACTGAAGAGATGCTTGCAGACCTAATGAAACAACAATGGTGTATGATGAGTCAAAAACAAAAGGCTCGATATAAATCAAAGTTTGCCTCTGATGAACCAGGTATGTAAATTGTGTAGTTTTTGCCATGCCTGTTGGATTGCCAGCAGAAAACTTTTTTTTTCTTTCTTGTCCTTGCTGAAAGGTGATATAGCCTGGTCTACAAAATAGATTGTACCATTTAAGAGTTGTGGTTCCTGGACAATGCCCTGTTATGCGGAAAATAAATTTAATAATTTTTAGGTTTAGCTGAATGACACAAGTATGCTTAAAATCATATGAGTTAGAACATAAGATTTATTGTCCATACATTTATATTTTATTGAACAGATGCCATTGATTGATATTTTAACTATTTAAGAACCTAAAAAGAAGCGTATGAGTAAACCAACAGCAAAAAAAATTGATATGGAAGAAATGGAAGAAGATGCACCTGAAGAGGAAGAAGTTGCAAAGAAGAAGAAATCTTCACAAAAGGTGAATACTGATTTAGTTTTTGGGTTATGTTTGCATTAAATGCAACTTTAGAGTCACAGGCTGGTTAGCTATTGTTTTGCCATCTTCTCTACCTATGTTTGTGTGAATCCACATTATGCAGTGAGGTGATAATTATTTAGGTTATATCAATGTCCATGTAGCAATTTATTGATGATTTAAAACAGATAAATTGATTTACCAATTGCTGTAAATGTGTATTACCATATTTATCAAGAAACCATTTTATTAAAAAAATTCACAAATTTTAGAAAAGTAGTGCATGGCACACAAATCTATCTCTTACCAATAATTATGAACTAAGGGAGACAACTCAATAAACAAAATTGTTAAAATTTGTTACTTTGCTCAAAATGTAATGTTTAATTTTAGGTTCACAATACTAAATAAAAGTAATATTTGTCCTTGAGTGCGAGTGAAAATTAATGACAATTGTATATAACATAACTATCCACTTAACTATTTAAGTGTAATGCATAGTTCATGTTGACTTTTTGTTTCAACTTGTAGGCATAGGGAATTAGAATACTGGTTTTTTTTGTGTGAACTTTGCTGATGAATTCATGTGTATTTAATTTTACTGAATTTCAAAAACATAGTAAATGGACTTGTCATAATTTGTTGATAATATGAAAAATATTTGGCTCTGGGCATTATTTGTTACCTTTTATCTTCCTTAAATGGTTTTCTGTATGGATCACTGAAGTTGTTTTAACAGTTTCACAGTTCAGTTGAGGTTATGTAAGGTAAACATGCATGTACAGTTTTATACAAAGACAAAAGATGGAATTTGTTATAGTTAAAAAAGATTTTTTTGTTGCCCTCATTTTACTGTATTAATTTTTTGAGAGTGTTTTGTACTCTAGTGTTAAAGAACAATGTTAAAATTTTAATTCTACCATATACATGTATGTTTTAGTCAACAGAACCAGAGGAGCAAGAAAAACCAGAGAAAGTTCCTAAGGTCAAACGTTCAAAATCTGTCAAAGAAACAAAGCCTGTTGTTAGTGATCAGGTACAACTTTATTTTAAGTTTAATCTATTTTTGTTAGGCAAGACATAAGATACTAATCAGATGGAGACAGCCTAAACTAATTGCATTAAGCTTAATGTTTTAAAAGGAAGAAAACCCAAATATTGTGCAATCTCGTTATATTTGGGCAAAGATGCATATAAGCTTCAAATACAATACAGTTATCTCTATTCTAATCCAAAATAAACAAATCATTCAATTTTAGTCGTTATTTCAGTGGAAAATTTTCATTAAACGAAAAGTCCGCGAAATGATATCTTCTTTGGCACCATAACTAGGTGACGTCATATGTATGCTTCCGGCATCAAACGTAAACACCAGGTGTTTTCTGCTTTCTTTTCCACTTCAAAATGTAATAAAAAGAAGATTTCTAGGTGCAAAATGTGAGTTTTTTGCTTATTATTGAAGAAATTACATGTGAATACATTCCGAAATTCAAAATGTCAGCTTCCTTAGTTACAGACAGGGAGATAGAGAATTTTAAGCTTATTGCCATCCAATCAGAAACATTGATTCAACATTATTGCATTAGAAACAGTAATCTCCCATTCCTAAAAAAGGAAGAGAAATTCATATGGGCAGTAAATAAGTAGACTAACATACCTAACAGCAATTTGAATACTAATTGTAATTTAAGAAATTTTTAATTATGTTTTCCGATCTATGCTTTTGTCTATGTCCATCCAGTATCAGTTTTAAGTGTTTGGTGGAGGTAGTTTACAATGAAGTTGTGGTAACATCAACTTTAAACTTAGTACACCAGAGCTCCAGATAAGAATTCACAAATTGGGGTTTTTACCCACCATTTTTTTATGTAATTGGGTGATCAAGTTTTTTAATTGCATTATCAATTCCAATTCACCCTTTAAGCAAATATCAAATTGGGTTTTTCACCACCAAGCTCCTTAATGTATTGGGTTTTTTCATCAACACAATATTGAATATTTAGGCATGTTATAATCACATTATATCAACCCCAGATGTGTTGCCATCTTAAATGTGTTTCTTTCTTTGTATATGTGCTTAGCTGTTTTATTTGATTATTCACTGACAAGCAATTGTATGTTTAATTTGTGTCCCGTTTTAAACCTTCTGTCAGTTTTGTATTTTCTCAAAACTTAATATGTAAACTGCAGCTGGTGTCACTATTTGGACAGTAACTAATTGCCTTTCTAGATCCCATATGATCACCCTACAGTTTATAGTTGGGGTAGGTGTGGCTAAGTGTTTAGATTTTTATGTAATATATGTGAAATTTAGGTGCTGTAAGAAAGTTTTGCCAGACCTTTCACCTTTTTGCCAGATCTACTTTTTAATAAAAAATAAAAAGTAGTTCCCAGATTTAAGATATACCCCAAAACCTTGAGATTTATAGGGTGGTTTAATGATGGAGACCACATTCAACTTAAATTTACAAATAATTCTGCAACATCAAGTAAATAAATGACAATGTTATACTGCACTTGCCAATAAGACAACTATCTTAAGCATCCAGAACAATTAGACCAAAACAAAGAAAGTGTCAAGCTGCATAATTTGACGTAAAAAACGGATATGTGTATTCATTCATCAACTAAAATGAAAAAAATAATATATAAACTGTTTTTGTTTAATTCAATTTACATAAATCTGGGTTAAGTTGTCCCTTATCAGAACTTTTGGTTTCCTATGCTTTCCAACTACATATCATGTCTTAATTGATGTGGCCTTTCACTTTTTCCAACTGATTTCGTTTTTGACGAAACCCCGTGTTTATGGTTCTATAGCAATGTTCTCGTTAAGGTACGCAAACACGCCCGTGCGTTCAATGGACGCTTCCTAAAATCACTAGCTGAGTCTTGTTATCATCATAACTTTCCCTCAGCTATCAAAAAGAAGCCGAAAACATGCTTCTATTCAATATTTTTATCGGACATTTATTTTCGTTTTAATTCATTGTATGTTATGATAAATCCAGAGCAATTCAAAAAAATATGACAGCATGTCACACGCTAATTGGATAAACGCCGAGAAGATCGAAATGTTTTCATAAACATGTGTACCTTTTGAGCAACGGAAAATTCCAACAGGGACCCATTACAGCTACTTGATGCAGGGCTCTATTTTAAGAACGAAAGGACATTTCCAATTATAAATATTATAAAAATAGATTTACGCGACGACTGTAATCAGATAAGGGTAAATAACGCAAACGATAGCGAATAAAAGCGTTAAGAACTCATGGTTTTGGCATATAATTGGGTTTTCCTTTGAATTAATTGGGTTATTGAACCCTGCAATGGGCAATTGCATTGGGTTTTTAATTATTTGTATTGCATGATCACGCAAATAGGCATCTTATCTGGAGCTCTGGTACACATTAAAAAATCATTATGCTGTGAACTTCAGAAATAATATGCCAAATTAGGGTTTTGATCCCAATAACACATTTTATTAAGTCTCCCAAACGAAGTTTGGGAAGACTTATTGGTTTTGCTCAGTTCTTATTATTATTATTATTATTCTTCTTCCTCTTCTTCTTCTTCCTCTTCCGCCGCTTTTAAATTTGAACTTGTCCGCACCCGTTCTCCAAAACCGCTTGTCAGATTAACTTAGGGTTTCACAATATGTTAGACTAACATGTCTAGTGGTGCAATCAGGGTTTTGTTTGTGCAATGGGGTTTATAAAGGGGTACTTTGGGGGGCAAACAGAAAGGAGGGTTTTACTATAGAACCCTATGGGATTTTATTTTAAAAATTTTTCAATTGATTATAAATTGAAAACCGTTTGTGATAGACACAATCTTTTTAATTGAAAATGTTCTAAATGATAAAGCACATTAAATGAAATACAGGGTTAGTCCCCAGGGGTCATCCCTGCCTTTTAAGAAAGTTCTAATATCTTGTAAGTGGTCAAGATCCCCACCCCTAAACCATATATATTCTGGTTTGTCATGCTAAGATGGTTTGAATGATATACAGGGTTAGTCCCCAGGGGTCATCCCGACCCCCTGCCATTTGAGAAAGGTCTAATATCTTGTAAATGGTCGAGATCCCCACCCCTAAACCATATATATTCTGGTTTGTCATGCTAAGATGGTTTGAATGATAAACAGGGTTAGTCCCCAGGGGTCACCCCGACCCCCTGCCATTTGAGAAAGTTCTAATATCTTGTAAATGGTCGAGATCCCCACCCCTAAACTATATATATTTTGGTTTGTCATGATAAAGCACATCAAATGAAATACAGGGCTAGTCCCCAGGGGTCACCCCCACCCCCTGCCATTTAAGAAAGTTCTAATATCTTGTAAGTGGTCGAGATCCCCACCCCTAAACCATATATATTCTGGTTTGTCATGTGAAGATGGTTTGAATGATATACAGGGTTAGTCTCCAGGGGTCATCCCGACCCCCTGCCATTTGAGAAAGTTCTAATATCTTGTAAATGGTCGAGATCCCCACCCCTAAACCATATATATTCTAGTTTGTCATGATAAAGCACATCAAATGAAATACAGGGCTAGTCCCAAGGTGTCACCCCCACCCCCTGCCATTTAAGAAAGTTCTAATATCTTGTAAGTGGTCGAGATCCCCACCCCTAAACCATATATATTCTGGTTTGTCATGTGAAGATGGTTTGAATGATATACAGGGTTAGTCCCCAGGGGTCACCCCCACCCCCTGCCATTTAAGAAAGTTCTAATATCTTGTAAGTGGTCAAGATCCCCACCCCTAAACCATATATATTCTTGTTTGTTATGCGAAGATGGTTTGAATGATATACAGGGTTAGTCCCCAGGGGTCATCCCGACCCCCTGCCTTTTGAGAAAGTTCTAATATCTTGTAAATGGTCTGGATCCCCACCCCTATACCATATATATTCCTGTTCATCATGTCTCGAACATTTGTATGACGTATAGGGTCAGTCCCCAGGGGTTCCCCCCACCCCCAATGTTCTAGTGTCTTGTAAATGGTCGAGATCCCCACCCCTAAACCATATATATTCCTGTTTGTCATGTCTTGAACATTTGAATGACGTATAGTGTCAGTCCCCAGGGGTTCCCCCCACCCCTAAACCATATATATTCTGGTTTGTCATGCCAAGATGATTTGAATGATATACAGGGTTAGTCCCCAGGCATCATTAATGCATATAACTTTACTGGACCAAACCAATTTTCACTGGACTTTGCCCAATGTCAGGCGACCCTGGGAATTACGAATTATGGGAGCTTCGTTTGGGAGACTTCGTAACAGCATCCTGTTACAATCATTTCTTGTTGAATATAGAAATATCTCACTATATTTTTTTCACTGAAAAAAGTACAATCAGGGCATAGTTTCCTATTGATACAGATTTTTGTTTGTATTGTACTTTGAAACTGGATTTAACAAAATAAAGTTTTGAAATAGCATTATTAGACAGCAAGATTATCAACCGTAGTCAAATACCATCTGTAAATAATAATTACTGAAAAGAGTACAGTACAAATAAAAACTAAATAATCAAATAAGATTTACCAAGATATAAAAAAGTTATAATAACATAATTATTTTAAAAAATCACAAACTTGCTTTTCTGAGTTTCATCCATATTAATACAAGAGAGTATCTTTCTTTTGGGAACAGATAACACGTATTCTGATGCTATATTTTAGGTTGAGCCAATGGAAACAGAAGAAACTGTTGAACCAAGTGAAGAGGATCAGGTACTTATTTACATTCATTCAAATAGATATTTTGCTTTGATAAACCTATATACATTATCCTATTACAAGTGGGTTTACTGTAGATAGTCAACATAAACATCAGCCAATATGGAAATAAAGTGAAATGGCATATTCCAGTATTAGAAAATGTTTTCCTCGATCTTCCAGGGGAAAATAATAAAATAATAACCCAGCTGTCTATCAAATGACATCATAAGAAAAATTTAAGCTATGCATGGAATAAAACCATTATGCTCTAGAAGCCTAAGCCAATTGTTTTAAACATTGTAAAAATGTAATTGTTCATACTTCATGAAACAAGTTATCTAAACTGGGAGAAAATTAAATTGATAATTTTTATTTTAATAAATATTTCAGTTTAACCCATTCTGTATGTTTTATATTTCAGGAAAATTCCAAGAGTGCTGCTCCTAAACCTACTGATCTAGAAAATGAAGAACCAGAGTTTGAGATTTTGAAATTGGCCTCTTCTGGTCCTCAAAAAGCAGAAAAGATCTGTCAGATATGTGAGAAAGATGGAGATTTGTTAGACTGTACTGGTCCTTGTTTGGGCACCTTCCATGCTAATTGTCTTGGTCTGAAAGAAACAGCTTCTGAAAACTTTAAATGTGACGAATGTACAACAGGTACCAGTATTCCAAATAATTAACATATATTGCATTATATGATATTGTTGATTCTTTGTTTTTGATTGATTGATTGTTGGTTGCTTAATGTCCAGTGGCAAATATTTCATGCATGTTCAGGACGAGAACAAGTTAACAATAAATACAATAGGTAGGTCTTGTAATAGAGGCCATCCGGGATAATGGTCGGGGAAATTTAGACTGCCACTGGAAAATGAGGGTATATTGGATAGGGACAGAAATTTTGACTTGCAACAGGCCACCTACGGACCCCTCAAAGAGTTGTTGCAAGGGATCTTAACGTGCAAAGAGCGTGGCACTCTCTACACGAGGCATCAGATTTAACGTCCCCATTCTGACCGGACGTGGCTGCCCGCACAGCCAAACGGACGCCCAACTTTGGCAAGCGTTTTACTGCCGGTCGGAAGAAGACCGAGTGACCATATTTCTATTCCCCAGTCACCCTTGGGTGATACTTTATTTTGTGGTTTTGCCAAAGTCTGCATATAGAAAATTTGTACTTCGTTGAACATATTAGTTTGTGGTACCCCTATACCCATGAAATCCTCGTCAATGTGTACCCCAGGAATAATAGTGAATCCACAGTATGCAGTTATTATGATATCAAGTATTAAAATATATTTGATGTAAGGATTTTGGAGAAAATATGAGATGTGGTATGATTGCCAATGAGACAACTATCTACCAGAGACCAAATGAAGTGGATGTAAGCAACTATAGGTCACTGTACAGCCTTCAACATTGAGCATCACCCATACTGTAAAGTCGACTATGAAAGGCCAGACGTGACAGAATATGAAACCATTCAAATGAGAAACCTTACAGCCTGAACCACAAATGAAAAACATATAACAGACAGCAACCAACTGCGACCACTGAATGGATCAGACCTTAATATAACTAATCTTTACACTCAAATGACATTCAGAAATTCATATCTTATTTTTCATTTTAGGTATCAGTTATTTATGTTATGAGACTAAAAAGTTGTTTGTTATTGAAAGGGGCTTTTAACTACTATTATATTTTCTGCATTTTGAAAGCTTAGGCAATGCTTCATTGTGATTCAAAATGTGCATGTTAATATAATAAACTTTGACAACCAAATGAAAGAAAAAGTTGTCTACCATGCCTTGAATAGAATAATTGATAACAAAAGAGTTTCTTCAATAGATTTATATTCCTTAAATTGTACAAAGATCATTTGTTGGAAACTGTTTCTTTGTTTTTGCAGGAAATCACAGCTGTTTTAAGTGTAAGAAAGCTGACACAAACACGAAGAAGTGTGGCGTTGTACAATGTGGAAAATTTTACCATGAGGACTGTGTTAAATCTCTTCAGTATGCTAAATGTGAGAATAAAAATTTCACATGTCCACTTCATGCCTGTGAAAGTTGTTGTGCTGAACAAACTAAAAAAGACAAGTCATCTAAAGGTTTGTATAATTTTTCATAAAGATAGATTTACATACACATGTTAGGTCAGTTTCATTCACTGTGTCTTGTCATTCTGGTGAATTATAATTATACATACACATTTAAAATGTAGCACATCAGCCCAGTGTTCTCCCCAGGCCCTTAAAGGACCGCGGGCTTGCGATGTATAATTTCTGAGCGTGGTGCTATCGGTCTTACCTCGATTCTTTTGTGTTTTAATTAAGAGATCATAACTTTATGGTCACAGATAAATATTTTATGGCTTCACTCACCACCCAAGTGCTGACCTGTGACAAGTCGGAAAATACTATGTACACAAACAGTATCGACCCGATAGTTGTAAACAAGCCGGTACAGTTTTTGTACATAATAAAGCTGGCTGATTAACGGATAATTGACAATTATACATTTCTCAATTCTTATATTATAGTATTATCTGTCTCTGACTAAACCATGGCCAAATTATCTTTAATTAAGACATAGTTATTGCATGATAGTCAGGTTTCAAACTATAGTATCTGTCAACCAGTAAATATTATCATCTGTACATATCACATGACCCAGTTAGTTCACGTAGCATATTCAAGTGTATTTACAATTAATTGCAATCTATTCTATTTTATAAATAAAATAAATGACTGTACCTTCAAACTGGATATCTATATCCATAATTAATGAATAACAGAAGTAATCTTGCAAATTTTATCCATAAACACATGTTAAATCTATTTATATCTACTTCCTGTCATTAAGGCAGGAAAAATAGGGAGACTTTGTTGTTGTCATTGAATATGGTTACTTATAGATCTATAGACCTAAAATAAATTTATAGATTTAGGAATTCTTTATAAATGGATCATGACAAATAAAGATTTAGATTTGAGTGCAGTATTAAGTCTGTATATATGTTTGATTATCACCAAAGACAAGAAAGGTTATTATTTACATGAAATCTATGGCAAAATGTTTAAAAATTTATGAAAAATTTCTTTTTATTTAAATTTAAGATAGATACTGGTTCAAATGATAAAACAATATTTGTTCTTGTAAATTTTATATCTCCTTATGACAGGAATCCTTTCACATATTACAACAACTTTCTTTCTAGAAACTAGAAAGTTTTTTAAATTGAACATTTTTGTTCTCTTTTTAATTTATTGATCATGGATTTTATAAAAGATTCAATTATTTTAAATTTAGATGAATATTTTGTAATGAATAATGTTTTATTTATTTTAAAAAAGTATTAAAGTAAACAAACTGTTTTTTTATTTACTTCTTTTTTACCAATAATTTTCTGACTCAATGTCTATACATAATACAGTACCACAGTATTAAAACAAAACAAGAGACATAAAAACTACAGTAACTAGAAATATAGCTAAGCGACGCGACGCAACACAACTGATAGTATGAATCATTTCACCAAGCTGTCCACACACGTTACCCTGGTGCTATCCTAAAATCCTGGGGAGAACACTGTCAGCCAAAGTATTTTCCCGATTAAATGTGCCAATTATTTAGGAATTTACAATTTTGTCTTGATAGATGTAGTATTATGATATGGATTAATTACACAACTCCAGTGACAGATTTTACATGCAAATAAAGTTGTTACTGTGATATGGATCTTGAGCCCTGTTTTGTACATAAATAAATTGACCATGAATTTTTGGTTATTTAACTCGTAAGGTAACTGTCTACAGAAATAAGTTCCCCCTACTAAGATGCATTTTAATGATTCCAAGCCAAGCAGTCTTAGCCCTTACTCCTAAATTCCATGTGCTTGCCTTAGAAACTACAAAAAAATAATTTCAAATACATCGGTTGCATGAGCTTGGTATCAAACACAGGCATCCAACACTCAAGGCTAGCATTCTAACTGGGAACCACCCTTGCAATTTAAAAAAACTGTTACAATGAAATCACTAAGTGTTTCAGCTGGACTATTTTATAACCAAGCATTATTAAGTGCTATTAAATTTTTCCTTTAATTTGTTGTCTAAAACTTTAATTTTTTTCTAATTTGTGTTCGTTAAAAAGAAAATAACAAAAAAAATTTCTAATGTGTGTTTGTTAAAAAGAAAATAACAAAAATGACAGAGAAAAACCAAATACAAAAAGTTAAGATTTGAACTATTTATTTGTTGTTTTTTTCAGGTGCCAGATTATTGCGTTGTGTAAGATGTCCTACAGCATACCATGTAGGAGAATTCTGTATAGGAGCTGGAAGTATAAATTTGCCTGGTTATAATATTGTTTGTCCTAAACATTTCAAACCATCAAAGTCAAATAAGGCTGTACATAGTCATGTAAATGTGTCCTGGTGTTTCTCTTGTAACAATGGTAAGTCTGATAACCACCATACTTAGTAATATAAAAATATGCTGCTGTTTCTAGTGTAATTATTGTAAAACAACCAACATGTTCATCATTGCAATGTGTCCCTTTGTTATACCTTCAGTAATGTTAAATCAAAATGCCAACAATCATCCCAGGGCGTTAAAAATTCCTTTTCCTGTTTCCCGGGGAGAGAATAATATTACATGTGAAGTTGACATTGCAGATCATTGCAGTCTGACAGTAATTTCCCACCTGGAAAATTCGTTTTTCTATCAAAAGAATAAACCTATCTGCTGCTCTTACTTGTTAAGTAAAATTTCAAAATACTTTCTTAAGATCATTCTGAGCTTCTCATTTAATAAGTTACAGTTTTACCGATCTGCAGCAATTTTCCATGTGTGCCTTTTGGTATTTAGACTTTTAGTTCAAATATTCAAAAAGGTTGTATAGAAACGGTTTCAAATATTGAAAGACGCTCTTTGCTTGACGTCCTTGAAAACTCATTGATTGTCAAACACTTTTATATCTTTCCATGTTTTTATTATACCCCCGCTTTAAAAAAGTGGGGTTATACTGTTTTACCTCTGTCTGTCCGTCCGTCCGTCCCATGAATTTTTTTCGTCACATCTTTCTCAGGAACTACATTACAAGGATTTCTGAAATTTGTTGTCGGGGTTCATATGAGTTAGCTATACTGTGTGATGCGTTTTCAGATTCATCACTCAACAACTTCCTGTTTACCTTATACTTTTAGTGGGGCAGGGGTATCATTAGTGAGCAGTAGCTCACAGATTCACTTGTTTTAATTAGGAAATACAGGAATTCATAGTATGAGTTTTAAGTATTGCATTCCAATGCTTTATACAATGCAATGTTTCATTTGTATTTCCCACTGCAAAATGAATACAATTTTTACCCTTCAATACTCACAAGCACTTTGATTCTTATATAATATAAAATTGCACTTGTCAATGCATATTCTGATTAACTGTTAAGTTTTGTATGCCTTCTATCAGGTTGTCATCTTGACTATACACTTACCTTGGTCTATTGTGAATAGAAAATAATACTAAATGGGTTTTACAGGTCATAAACCACCTATCAATTTAAGTTTTATTGATTGGTTACTTGTTGGTTGGTTAACGTCCAATTTAAGTTTTATATCAAAAGTATGTTGAATGTACTTATAACAAAATGTGTCACTCTTTTATCAGAAACTACAAAATAGAATGACTATATTTGGTCAGCAACTCAACAGTGATGAGTTGTAAAGTGTGCGGGCTTTTCAGATCTGACAGACAGCTACTTCCTGTTTTCTGATACTTTGAATTACATGCGGAAGTATGCTTGCCACAACACACGTGCATTCTTGTTTCTATCATATGATATGCTTTATATCTATCATTTCACAGGTGGTTCATTAATCTGTTGTGAGAGTTGTCCAGCAGCTTTCCATGCAGATTGTGTAAAGATTAAATCAACCGAAGGAAGCTTTTATTGTGCTGAGTGTGCTGCTGGGAAAAGACCATTATATGGTGATATTGTATGGGTCAAGTTAGGAACATACAGGTATTCAGTTGTATTTAAAGTAAATAAACTTTCCAAGACTATTTTCTTAAAAATTTAGATTTTTAAAAGTGTAATAAGACAAAAGGAAAAATGAAGTTGATACAGAAGCAGTCAATGGTGCTTGAATTAACCACAGCTTATATTGATGTTTATATTTAAAATTGCTATTGTGTCTTTATAAGTAATGAACAAAATATCCAACATCTTGCAGATGATATGAGACCTGAATGTCTTTTGATAATTATGAGCTACATGTATATGATAAAGTAAGTTTAGGGTAGAAAGGCAACTTCTTTTAAAATTTATGGGGTGATGGCTATTTAAGCCGGAGCAATTCTAGGAAACATTGAAAATTTTATGCATGGCCAGGCAAAAGAAAAAGTCCTTTTCGAATCCCTCCTCCTTAAATGTTTCCAGGACACCCCTTACAGATATGAAAGAAAAGGAGATGAGGGTCGTACGTTGAGGAGAGAGCAATCCAAAAGAGCCAAAAGATGTCTGTCCACAAATGGTCTTCAACAAGCCATATGCCTAGCTGTAAATTGGCATAAGTAGACAAGTTCAGTGTTGAATTAAAGGAGACTACCAAAGTCTGTGATTAGGATTTTAAAAATAAACTTCTGCTTGTTACAACATTAAATGTGCTCAAAATTTCTTTCACAGATGGTGGCCATGTCAAGTCTGTCATCCTGCCAATGTTCCACACAATATACAACACAAAGCTCATGGTGTTGGAGAATTTCCTGTACAGTTTTTTGGTTCTAAAGATTATTACTGGATCCATAAAGGAAGGTAATGTAGCAAAACAGAAAAATCATTTTCAGACGGACTCCGCATTCTTATGCAAGTTCTCCATATACACTGCTTCCACACTTTAGACAAATTAATTTTTCTAAAAAAATTTGCCTTGAAATAGGTGTTAGAAATTTGCTATTAATTGAGCTTTTCAGAACATTTTATTAAGCTACCTGGATTTTTTTTGAAGTGGTCTTATCATGGCATATTTGTCTGTCATAAACAGATTAAGGATGATAACTGAAATTTTCTTTGGAGTAAGAGCTCATTACTAGGTACCATAAACTGTAGGTTAAGTTAAAGTTTCAATCTTTCTGAGATGAAGAGATTAACTAAAGTTCGCTTTGGAGTAGGACTTAATAACTTTTCAATTTACCATGAAATGCATGTCTGAATTGATGTTCCCATTGTAATAATTACTAGTCCCAGAGTCTTGACTTGCCTCAACCTTGTTTAATTATTTCATTGAGGGTTTTACAATTTTGTAACAATTGGAAAACAAAATAATTACCAGATAATAATATTAGGTTACTTGGAAGCCTATTATTATTGAGTCACTAGAAAGGTATTATTACATGAAATTGGTGTTATTCTTGCTCCTCCAAACACACTGTGTTGACTAGTTCAGGCTTTTCTTATTTTTGCTTTTCTACCAGAGATATATGGGGAGGATTTATTGGCTGTGCCAATTTTTACACCTTTTTTCATGTTTTTCACCCATTATCTTGCAGGTGTTTTGCATTCCAAGAAGGTGACAAAGCCTCAAAAGAAAACACAGCAAATAAGCATTTAGCCAAGATATTTAGCAAAGGTAAACAAATAATTGTTTTATCTAGTTGGAATAAAATTGCATATATACTTTAATTTGATCTTTTTCTTTCCTTAGCTAATACATTTCAGACTGGATTGAGCATTCTTATGCAAGTTCTCCAAATACACTGCACATATATATTATACATATTTGATCAATGAAAAATTTCAGATAATATATTACTGACGAATGATGGTGTGCTTTTAATTAGGGTTCAACTTACTTGTCAGTTGAAATTGAAAATTCTCTTATGTGTCTTCTAGATGAAATAACACCAAGGGTGAAATATGGTAACTTTGGTCTTTTGACAGACAGTTAAACCCTTGCCAAAGTGGGGCATCATTTTGGTTATGCAGGATGCATAAAATTGCAGCTATGTCCTGTCTGAATGGAGATGTTAAATTTGATGCCTCTTTTAGAGGGAATTGTTTTCTTACATTTTTGAAAAGTTTCCACCAATTTTTATTGTTTTTCTTATTTTTAACTGTTGGAGTAAAGAAATAGTTGCTGTATGACTTCCAAAGGTGATAAAAAATGCAATTTTTTGGGTCAATAAAAGATTCAATCAGGACTAATGCCATGTTAATGTTTTAGGTGTTTATGAAGCAACAGAGGCATTCAAAGTATGGAAGGCAGTGAAAGCCAACAAAGAACAAGTTGAAAAAGAAAGACAAGACAGAAAACCAGCACCATTTAAATATGTAAAGGTAAAGGTTTATACGTACTTTAGCATTATTTCTGCACACAATTACTTCTTTACAAGGAGGTATAAAAAGGTATTTATTGCACCTTTCGTACAAAATTTACTGTATAAAAACTGATATATATTGGCCTTACTGTAAATTCAGTAGTGAATGTGATAATTTTATTTCAGTTGAAACTCAGTTCAGATTACTCTCACTTTTTTCATGCTAATGATGCATATTTCAATATAACATCTATCAATATAACATTTAGTAAACTTTGTATGATTCAGTTTAATAAATGTACATTCTATTAAACTAATTTTTGCAAGCAATTTTTACGGGACAACTAGAAAAATAGTATGAATATGTTAAGTTGAATTATCAACAAGTTGAAAATTGTGAAATTAAATCTTGGCGAATTTGGCTATAAACACACGATTAGTATCTGTGAAAATGAGATGAATCACAGACTTATTCACAGTATTTTTTAATTAACTGTACAAAGATTAAGGTTTTGATGTCTTTATGCAAATTTGTTGGATCAGAAAATGTATATGAAATGGAAAAAAAATATCTTTAAATGGTAACATAAACTTTATGTCAGAATCACAGAAATCTGTATAATGCAAGACTAACTTTAAATGCCTCAAACTTACAAAATTGTCACACATATGAACGTTTAAGTTCTGTCAAGCTAACTTACCTGCTTTATATCTTTACAGACAAATGTTCCAATAGGCAGTGTACAGATCTACAAAGCTGATTTGACAGAAATTCCTAGGTGTGAGTGTAAGCCAGAACAAGATAATCCTTGTAGTTCTGACACTGATTGTCTCAACAGAATGTTAATGTATGAATGCCATCCAGCTGTTTGCCCAGCCGGAGAGAAATGTCAGAATCAGAGATACCAGAAACGGGAATATCCAGATTCAGAACCTTATAAAGTTCCTAATAAAGGATGGGGACTAAAGACAAATGTTTCTGTTAAAAAGGTAAGGTCTTGCCAAGCATCAGAGGTATTAGATTAACTTGATACTTTTTCAAATGCATACTGATAAATATTTAATCCATCGCAAACTATCACAAATTTAAACATAAATTCTACAATTCCTGATATAATTTTAATCCATGATCATGATTATTTTAATTTGTGATCTCAAATTCAATTTATTATTTTTGGAGGTCCTAAATAGACTTTCGTACCTTTTTGAATGACCATACAGACTAATTATTTTCCTTCAGACTTGATTCAGGTTATTGAGTTGAGTTTACACATTGCTTGTGACACATAAGGATAACTTCTGTCATTTTGCATCGTCTGTCTAGTCACACTTAATGGCCTACTTCGAGCGTTTACCATAGTTTAGTTAAGGTCGAATTAGTGCGCATGTCTAGACAATAAATTGCCAAAATGCATTCCCTGAGTTTAAATTTTCTAAACATGGCGGTGTTGAAAGTTCAGAGTTCGCTAAATAACTCATCATAGATACCAGGATTAAAATTGGCCCAAGAACACAGTTATTTCGTAGTGCATTTCTTTTAGACAATAAAGTCAAATTAAAAAAATCGCACCTGCTCTATCTCAAAACGATTTTTACAGTGTAGTGTACTACTATTGGGACAAATAATATCAAAATTATAGAAAAGTCTACCAGCTCTAACTCAAAATATTGACAATTCTATGTTAAGGAGGTCTAAAATTCAATTTGACAGCTTCAGACATACTAGTTTTTGACCTTTTTTAACTGGACCAAATCACTACTTAACATAAAGATTCAGCACCCAAATTTTATTAACATGTAATTTCATCCCCTTACTTAATATTTCATGCATAAAATATAAAGAAATAAATTTGGAAAGTGTATTAAAAAAATTTGCAAGTTATACACTGTCCACACTAAGGACTATATTTGTAGACAACGAAAATCTAAGAACGATAAGTGTGTCCTCGGACCTAATAGCGTACGCCAGTTGCATATTTCATCTAAAAAAGACTTACATGTATAAGTAACTCTCAAATGAAAAAAGTCAACCGTTTGGTTCTAACATAATGACGTCACCAATGAAATATAGTACAATACGATCAGCCATATTTCTGATGTGGATCACATTATTCAGCCTAAATAATATAGAAATAAGCAACAACATCAGGTAAATGCAGCTGGTTGTGTTTTAGATAATTATATGAATATGTTGGGAGTAAAAAATAAATTTTCAGTTTAAACAAATGGCCTTGCCACAATCGCGGCCATTTTACAAAGTTAATTTTGGTGACCTCTGGATTGACTATATTAACTATAGATAGCACCTAAAGTAGGCCAATATTAGTTCACAACTCCTTGGAAAAGGTTTAACAGAATTCAACCAATCTTTAGGGATCATAGATTTATTCTTATGAGGAAGCTCCGAGCATGCTCGGAGGATGCTCAGAGCTTTTTCAGTAGGCTCTTCTCTGCAGTTTATGTGAAAATAATTATCATGATCCATTAAGATGTCAATCAAATCTACACCACTTCTATAATAAGGAAAGTAGAGCATTATAGAGGAAGCTCAATTAACACCTGTGTAAACATCTAATCTATTCAAATACATTTTGCCTGAAATTTTACAAAACTATAGAATAGATTAGAAATTCTTCAACAGTACTGTGTAATGCTTGGAAAGAAATCTCATGTCTCCACAAAAAGTGAAAGTCTTTAACAAAAAATATACAATTATTATATTTTTAAAATAATCATTTCTTTTTTTATAATAAAAAAATTCTCAAATTTTATAATTAGATGATATGATTTAAATATAGTTTATATTATATAATATGCTACATAAAAGTTATGAAGACACAAACAACAGTCAGGGGGCGATACTAAACAAGTTATTTTTTTTAGTTACTTATATTAATAGGTATTTTTTGTTTTTTTAAATTATTTGATATAATCTCAATTGTTATTTTAAATGTCAAAAGTGGACTAAATGTAGTTTTTAAGAATTTTTTCATCATTTCATTAAGTAAAATTAAGTATTTATCCAACTTGAGATGAGTATAGAGAGATTACTTTAAAAATAATGACAAAAATATTACTTTTATAAATTATTTTATACATCTTCGAAAAACTAAGCGAAAAACTAAGCACAATTATTTAAGGAACATATGTAATTGTTTTTGATAAATATTTCAAATTATAAATAACTTCAAGTCTTAATTAAATCACAAGGTTCCATCCATTTATATTTGTTCATCTCTAAGATTTTGAAAGAAAATGTTATTTTAATAGCCCCAAGAGACCAATCTATGACCAAGAAGTGTGGCATCAGAAAGGCAATTAGTGTTTCAGGAGGATTTAAATAGTTTTATACTGCATGGGGAAAATAACCAGATGTGAAAATTTGTTAAAGCTTGTAAAACCTGTATGAATGGACACCTATAGAAATAATATTAACAGAAGTTACTTATTCATGATATATAAGTAATATTTGAAACAACCTTGTTTTCAATATAACTTGTATAGGTTATTTTGAAAATTACTAGTTTAAGTAATGCCCTTAACTAAACAATGGTATTTTTTTTTATTATTTTGAGTAAGCAGTTTATGTACATCTTCCTAAGAATACTTACACATCTTACCTTTATATCCTTTTACTGCTGCAGAATATGTTAATTTACCGTTTACAATTTCAGGGACAGTTTGTTAATGAATATGTTGGTGATTTAATTGACGAAGACGAGGTTAAAAAGAGAATAAAACAAGCACATGATGATAATGTGATGAATTTCTACATGTTAACATTAGATAATAAAAGGTTTGTTTCTCAATATTACTGTAAATTCAGAAATTACTGCGATGTTTTTATTAATGCGAATGGGTGAGTATCGCAAAAATAAAAACTCGCATTCTCATATATGATACATGTACATATCGGTATGCAGCTTTTCCTGAAATTGCAAAAATTAATCTCTCATTTTTGTCCATTCATTAAAAATCACAAAAATAAATGCACACAATAATATCTGAATTTACAGTACATAAAACATTAACATTTGGCAATACATGGTAAAAAAGAATGATATAAATGTTAAGGAGATTGAGGAAAAAAGTATACCTGAGTGAATTACAATTGGTTGCCATCTTTGTTAGCTTTGAAATATCGGTCTAGCTTTATGTTTAATTTTCCTTGTTGAATTTGTTCACATCTTTTTATACCAATTATATGCTGGTCATTTTGAAAAGACACTTTGTCTATTGTTGAAGACTAATTTTACCTCTAGATGTCTTTCTTTTTTTGTGTTCCTTGGGTGCTGACATATTTCTGTATTTTAATATTATATAACAAGAGGTTGATTACTTCTGAATGTTAATTTTAGTTGTCATGCGATAAAATATAAAGGCAATTTCTTATTGCTTTGCTATGCACTTTTGATTGCCCAAACCGTATACTTTCTTATTTTCTCTATTTAAATTGTAATATAATTTGTGATTAATTGAGATTGCCAGTAAGAGAAATATATGTACACAAAAAAATGTATCAAGCTTGGGAAATCTTGCCTAATGGTCATGGTTCAACAGGATTAGATATCTTTCAAAAATAATTTAACAGAAATTCAGTTTACTCATCTAATAAAAAATTTTAAATTACAGAATAATAGATGCTGGACCTAAAGGAAACTTGTCCCGGTTTATGAACCATAGTTGTCAACCTAACTGTGAGACACAGAAATGGACTGTAAATGGTGATGTCCGTGTGGGTCTGTTTGCACTGCATGATATTCCAGCAGGTAAACCATTGTCATAACACATCTATCTGTCACAATATTCAAATTCAAATTTAAAAGTATTGAAGATTTTTCAGAAATTCATATGTAGACTAGTGACTTCTTAAGAATTTTTTGTAATGATATATTTCTTTTTTTTTATTCATTATTGTAACAAGGAAAGTGGGACATTTCTTTATTACATGTAACTACAGAGGGAGAGATCAATTAGTCATGTAATAATCAACTGATTTCTACCAAAGTGTTTTTAAATTTTTTATAATTTAATTTTGCCAAAATAATGTGATTATTAAAGGGACAGTTGTTTATGTAATCATTGTTTGATTGATAATTTTTCATATGCATACTGATGAGGAAAATCAGCATCAAATAAATAGAAAATTAGTCTGGCCTTTAATTACTAGTTTGGCATTTTGAACATGTAATAATGAAATATTAGTTACCTTTGTAGTTATTGACTTGGATTTGTTTTTTTACAGGATCAGAGTTGACATTTAATTACAACTTTGAATGTTTGGGAAATGACAAAACAAGTTGTTCATGTGGTGCTGCTAACTGTAGTGGATTCCTGGGTGTTAGACCAAAGGTAAAACATGCTTTACACTTTTGTATATGTATCACCTGTTCATATTTCTTAAAATTAATGACTCTCTGCTCAATATCAATGTGCCAAGTCTCATTATCCTCTTTATAATATTAAACATTGAATGACTTCCGAAACTATTGTATTCCAAGTATGAATGTTTATTTTTTCACAGAATATAATGTTAAACTGAATTCTTTAGTTCAGTTCATTGTGTACCATACTAGCAATTGTCATTAAACCTTATTTTGACCATTAACCACAGTGGCATATTCAGATTATTCTTTATGTCCATTAAGTCCGATAGAGATTTTAAACTTTGCAAAACGTTTTACATGTTTTATTTGAAGACTCGAAGCATCGCAATGAATTGGCATTTCCAAAGGTAAAATGGAGACCCTTCAAAATCTGAAAATTTTAAAATGCAAAATTACTTAGTTTTACTTGGTCTAAATCAAGTACAATTATTTGAAACATTTTACAATAACTTTTTACAGTACAGTCATAATTACTAATTGAAAGAAAAACCTGCCAAGAGAGCTTCGAGTCAAACCACAGACTTAAAAAATTTGGTATTTGCTGCTTTTTAACTAAATGCAACTTTTAGTAGTAAGAGAAAAGACTGGTTGGCCTAGAGACAGAATAATGTGTCCAGTAGGGTGACATGTCTTCCTGCAGACTTTTACATTATGAACTAGCATGTTAAAAATCTGGCTGAGCATGTCAGTCGCAAGCAAAAGTTCATTTTTATATCACAGATAACACGTTTTTGTCCTAAATGAGCATTTAACTTGCCACTTGACATTTGATAGCAATCCAATATCATTTTTGCTTGAAATAAGGTTGAAAAGTAGGAGTGACATTATGAAGTTTGTAAATATTAAGTTTTATTAGTTCAGAAGTATTTGTTTTCTTTTTTGACAGACTGCAGCTGCAGCAGCTCAAGAGAAAAAAGCAAAAGAAGCAAAAAGTAAAGATAAAAAGAAACGGAAAAAAAGAAAAACTGAAGTCAAGAAAAGCCATGAGGATGAGTGTTTCAGATGTGGTGAGGGAGGGGAGTTAATCATGTGTGACAAAAATGGATGTCCAAAAGCTTATCATTTAACTTGTCTTAAGCTGAGCAAACCTCCACATGGTAGGTAAAAGAGATATTGTTGTATTTAATACAGTAACTATAACAACTAAAATCATGATATTAGTGTTATTAAGGTTAAAGGGCTTCTACTTGTATTTCAAACTTATTAACAGGAAAAAGGAAAGAAGGTGAACCGTATTACAAGTTGGATCCAAATCACCTGTAAGATAGACCAGCAAATTTTACTGTGGACTACTAAAACCATATCATAGACACTATATAAATTGACATCCAATGAAATAAAATTAAGAGACATTATTATAATGAATTATTTAAAGTTTGCCCTGATTATAATCTTTACAAAATATTCTTACAATGATTTTGTTCTATGATAAGAAGCCCGCTTTTAATGTGTTGTTCCAGAGTTATGAATCTTATTAATAATTGTTAAATGAATGACAGTAATGTGCATTACAATTAAAAGTGTCATCTCATATCAGTCTAGTACAAAACAGGGTATATTCATATAACATTAACATGATATTGTCCTAAATAGGCATGGAATTTTGTTGTAATAATCAATGGTGGCGATTTAAAAAAGAGAGGCGAAAGATACCAAAGGGATATTCAAACTCATAAGTCGAAAAACAGACTGACAATGCCATGGTGAAAAACAAAAAACAACAGTACTCAAAACACAACATAGAAACTAAAGATGGAGCACCTAAAAATGGAGGGTGGTATCAGGTGCTCCAGAAGGGTAAGCAGATCCTGCTCATGTAAGTAAAAACCCGGTGATAAGTCTTAATTCGGAAGGTCACATTCGAGAAAAAGAGGATGGGGTTGTGGTTCCAACAATTGGAACATATACCTCATCATCTGTGAAACAGATAATTCATAATGATCAACCAACTCTTGATGGTGTCTGGCATTATTGTGATTGAGTTTATATATAGAATAGCCATCATCTATTTGTGTATTTTGTTTATTACAGGAAAATGGGATTGTCCCTGGCATCATTGTGACGAATGTGGTAAACCTGCCACTAAGAAATGTGCCCTTTGTCCTAACTCATTCTGTTCAGTACATGAAGAAACCAATATCAGGGAAGTACAAGGTTTCCTTATTTGTACTGACCATGAAGATTCCGAGGCAAATGATCTCTACATATCTGATCAGGAAGAACGAGCCTCAAGCAGCACAAGATCTTCAGTGTCATCAGACGTTGCCTCTGAAGATGATTCCAAACCAGTTGAGAAAAAGAAGGCAAGTAACGGCAAAAGAGGCAGAAAGAGTGGCAGTAAATCTCAGGGTACAGACGATCCATTGGCCGTAGCCCCAATGTTTGATGACAGCGATGACGATGGATTCTCAGGACTTGTTATAGACATACCCAGTATCCCATAAGGCATCTTGTATTCACTTGTAAAAAACAGTTTCATTGCATGAATTCATTATACTTGAATTGTTCACTAACAAATAACAAATTTGAGGAGAACTTGTTAACTTTGTTTTGTAAATATCTTAATATTATTCGTTATATTCATCCTGTTACAATATTTGTCGTATTCTCTTTGTTAATTTTCAAGTTGACAATAGATTTAAAGTATTCCAATGAATCAGATAAGCACAGTATTGTTGTTTCTCATTCAAGAAGTTAATTCAACAACTGTTCAGTTAATTCTACACCTGTTCATGTGTTTCCTGAAAAAACATAATGTAAATACCTAAAATGACCTCAGATTTACTCAACAATCTTATATAATTTGTATATTTTGATCAAATGTTTCTGTACCTTCATTGGACATATTTCACATTAAAATGTCCAATATTCTAGGTTTAACATGGTAGGGATACCTCAAAATTTCTACAATACCTATGAAGTTTCATCTACATAAGTTTTGATAACTCATCCTCATGCCTGTTAGTTTACAATTTTCAAATGTGTTTATTAAATGTCAACTTTCAAAATTTATATCTTTATAATAAATTGTTTAAGAAAAACATTATTGGCATATTTATACAGTAGGCATTTTAAATTTTATGGGATAATTTTTAGAAAGAAAGGAAAACTTTTCAATATTTTTGTATGAATGCTTCAGCTATAAATATCTTGAAGAGTTCTTTGATGGGATGGGAGTGACTCATTTATCCAATAATTTTTGTTGAAATTTTTATGATGAAAAATGACTTTCATGTAAATAAAACAAAATTGAATGGAAAAAACTGGAGAAATATGTAGAACTTGGGTTAGTTCTAAGATTTCAATATTTTCCCCCTCTTTTGTTTTTGGCAAAGAAAAGATGGATTGTGAAAATTAATTATTTGGGACTTTTTGTGTATGTGGTTGAACCATGAATCCATATTCATGCTTTTATTTTCTTTGACAAATAGGAGGGTTAGATTCAATTAAGCTTTTATAAAAATATTCAAAAGTGAAAATATTTAAATCAAGTTCAGTTCAATCAGAATTATTTGTACATTAAATATAACAGAAAAAAAGCTATTGTTTAAATTTTAGGGAACGCAAAGTGTACAGAATTTGATTTGTTTGAAAAATGTGTGGAAGAAGTTTATAAGGATTGTTCTAATTTGTTTATTCAATTTATTATTGTCAACTGATAATTACTATTGAACATATTTAATATGATATTACCAGTGTTTCCACCCAGCATTCATGCTATGGTACCTGAATTAAAAATTTGAAATTAAAAAAAATTGTTAGAATTATGCAGAAGTGGGATGAAATTGTTAACATTTTATTGTTATATTTGAACACATTATTTGAGTGTCTTGCAAGTTTTAAAAGTTGATATTTATGGTAGTAAAATGTTGGCATTTTGTGATATGTTCAGGATTATTATCAGGTTGCATATATTTTCTTAGTCTCACTCTTAATGATGAATACTATTAATAATAATAACTTTATCAGCTCAAATAACACCCTTAAGAGGATCAAAATTGAGGGAACAGGGAAGGGGTGGGGTATATAGAAATCCCCCTGTCCATCCATCTTTTACAGGTGCCTTGTCATCAACTCCTCAAAAACATCTGGACAGATAATGATGAAACTTTACACAATAGTAAAGTGTAACATGTGAATAAAGGAAAGTAATCCTAGTTCAACATGTTAAAGGGAAGATAATCAATTTACTTACTTCAATATACTTATAGTATTGCGGGGCAAGGGTATCCTTTTGTGAGTTTAATCGCAGTTTTAGTTTTGAAAGGAATAAACAATGAAAAATCATGATATAAACAAAATATTTTTTTGTAAGCCACAAATTATTTGTGGAAAATTCATGGAAAATTAATTCCCAACTTTGACTGAATTGTTTTTAATACGAAGGGAACAGAAGGAATCTTTTTCCAAAGAAATCCATTGTCTATGTACCACGAAGAACAAATATTGAATTTTTGAATTTAGCAGTCTGTGAAAAAACTTATATGTATTTGCTCTAAATCTCGTTTCAAGAAAATACTTCCATATGTTTAACAAATTTTTTCTAAATTTTCAATGGCTCAAACCAATTTTTACAAGTCACTTGACTATTGCTATGTTTTTGGCACAGAATGAGATCGGAAAAGATAAAGGCAGATAATAAACTGTTTTTGTTGCAAGTACAAATAAAAAGGAATTAGAATTTTATCATATCGTGATATTTTTCTATTTTTTCAGTCAATTAATTTAATGAAATGCGATGTACTTGAATGAAAGATTTAAAGAAAATTCTGTGCAATCATGTGAAACTTGTGTGTCACACTCAAATTTTTTTTGAAAATCATGTGTAGAGAACAGATTTTTTTTTTATTTGGTGAGTAATTAAAAGCTATAAGTTCAATAATTAAAATGAATAGTTCCCATTCTAAATAATACCTTGTTAAAGTTATTGTATGTAAAAGTATTCATGAGCTAGTTATATAGTGTGTAAATAGACGATTGTATTTTATTGTGTTAATTCTCAAATTGTTTTATTCTAAATTTTATTTAACACAAAAATGTTAGAATTGTATTTTAGTGTGGTGGAATATTTATGACATAAAATTCTTTCAGAGGTTTTTTAACTGATATTTTATTGTACATTATTGGTGTCAAAGTTGATTTTTAATATCTTAACATTGCTTTAGTTCTACTCTATAAATATTGTAATTATATTTAAAAATACAGGTGTTGAAACATAAAAGTGTATATTAATCTTTCTGTTATGCAAGTCAAATTCCACATAAACTTCTCCCATTCTAAGTTCTTTTGGCTTTCTTATCGAGTAATAGATATATTGAATGAAAATTTACAGAGTTCGCGAAATGTGGTGGTCCGAAGGATTTGACCACCAAAATTTTGCAAAGGACTGACACAATCTTGGTATTTGCAATAAAAATAATAATAAGGACCAGCAGATTTTCTCCAAGGATCACCAGGGGAAAAAGATTTTGCTAACTCCTAATTTATAAGGGGAAGGGGACTCTTTAGCTATAAAATGGTTTTAAGAGAAAATATGAATTATTAGCATTTTTTAATTCAAAAAAAAATATGAACAAACTGATTAAAAATTTAAATTACATATAATAGTAATTTAATGCAGACTTCAAATTAGGAAAGTTTATGTACAAACTTTAAAACTAGATATGTCCTCTTTTATAGTTAGTCAGTATTTATATCGATATTGATTCAGGGCTTGTTTCATTTATAAAATAGTATGTGAAAAGGTAGAAAGGCTTCCAAAATCCTCCTCTCCACAACCATTATTGTTTGCATACATCAAATGGAAATACAACCATAAATGACCAATGATCAAAATTAAAAAAAAATAAAACTTCCATTTCCACCCCCTCACAATTATTTTAACAGAATACCCCTTTATAAAGCAGTTGTACAGTTATGTGAATCATGTACACACCAAGGAAGTAAAACATCATAATAAATTACAAAGTCAAACTATTGTTCATAAGTCTGAAGTAAATGATCTCATGTATAGGTTACACAATAATAGAAAATTCATTTGAAAACACGTCCGGGAAAAAAGTTTTTTTGTTCGTGACAGAATACGTAAGAATTAGAGCTCAGTAATTGTATGATTATATAGGTAAATAGACTGTACTACTAATTTTGTTTGAAAAATTTACAGGAGTTCAGAGGATGGGGTAAGAGTTTATACTAGATTTTGGCAGGCAAAATTCAACAAATAAAATGTTATGTACAAAGTTTTTGTAATATAATAGTAAAATGGGAGAACCATTACAATATAAATTCTTAGGTAAAACAAAAGTAAAACTAGATCATTATATATTTATAGGTTAACATTGATTTCATCATTATTCTGGAGTACATAATTTTTCATGGAATTGTTCATACATTATTTGTAAAGTGTTATTATGTAAATTGTGAAATTAAAGCTTCTGGTAGATATTCTTCTTTATTTACTGCTTGTTGACAGCAATGCTTACTCATTTGTAACACATTTACAGGGAAATATATAAGATAAGATGTGATTGATTGCCAATTGTACTATCCACCAAAGTGCAAATGATGTTTTTGTCGAGCCTGCAAAATTTATTTCGCAAAAGCGAGACATAGTGATCCTAGATTCTGTCGTCTGTGTCATCAACATTCAGGCGGGTAGCTATGTTCAGGTAAAAATGCTCGGGCATGCACATGAATTTTAGAGAAAAAAATATTTTAATCTAAATAAACTAAAAGAACTTGTAAAAAGTACATGACTCTTTCGTCAATGATTTGTTATTGAAGATAAAAGTGATGAAATTTCCTTTTTAATCAAATGTGAATTTTACTCAGTTTCCTATTGTTTAAAGCAATTCATTATCTGCTGAGATACGATATGTGGATTGCATTTTTGGTCGAGCATGCAACTTTTATGTCGCAAAAGCGAGACATATTGATCCTAGATAAAGCTAGTGTTGGCGTCGTCAACATTTTAAAGTTTAGTCTGTGGTTAAAGATTTTTTGAAACATCAAAAACTATTCCAAACCTTCATGTAATTTTATGAAATTTGGACAGAAGCTTTTTTATGACCAAAAGACAGTATCAAGGGCTATATTTTGAAATAATCATTTTTTTTATGCACCCGTCATAGTGGAGGGGGCATTAAGTTTTACCCATGTCCGTCTGTAAGTCCATCTGTCCGTACATCCCAAAATTGGTTTCTGTTCTCTAACTTTAGTTTGCCTCAACCAAATACTATGAAACTTATTCACAATGCTTATTACCACTAAACAGATCAAGTTTGAATTTGGGTGGCGTCACTTTTACTGTTCTAGAGTTATGCCCCTTTACAAATAAAAAAAAAAATTGCTGAATTTTTTGATTCCGTTCTATAACTGTAGTTTGCCTCAACCAAATGTTGTGTATCTTATACACAATGCTTATTAGCATGCCTCAACCAAATGTTATGTGTCTTATACACAATGCTTATTAGCACAAAACACAGATCCCGTTTCAATTTTGGTGGCGTCACTTTTACCGTTCTAGATTTATGCCCCTTTACAAATGGAAAAAAATGGTGATTTTTTTGTTTCCATTCTCCAACTTTAGTTTGCCTGAACCAAATATTATGCAACTTATACACAATGCTTATTACCACAAAACACAGATCAAGTTTGAATGAAAAAATTGCTGAATTTTTTCGTTTCCATTCTCTTAACTTGAGTTTGCCTCAATCAGGTACAAATTTGGGTAGCTTCACTTAAACTGTTCTTTAGTTATGTCCCTTTATAAAGTTCTATGCAAGCGGGGGTATCATCTGTGTCCCATGGACACATTCCCCATTTATTTACTGATATTATTATAAATGGACTTAGTTTCTTTACAGTTAATATTTAGATACAGTCTAAGGTAACAGTTTTTCGGTCATCAATAACTTTTGTCAATTTGAAACCTTTAAGACATTTTACTGAAGTTGGATAGAAGCTTTTTATGACCAAAAGACAGTATTATGAGCAAAGTTTCGAAATATTTATTTTCATTTTACTGATAAATTGACTTAGTTTTTTTTACAGTTGATATTTCGATATAGTCTAAGGTTAAAGTTTTTCAGCCCTCAGTAACTTTGTCAAACCTTCATGAAATTTTACGTAAGTTGGACAGAAGCTTTTTTAATGATCAAAAGACAGTATCCAGAGCATAATGAAAATACATTTTTGATTCAGCCATGCTGGATCTATGCGATCACTCTGCTTTTGGAGATGGTGCAGAATACTAAGTTGAAGACATTTTCATGAAACTAATTATGTGTTTTATGACTCGCAGAAACTTCTACACCATTTTAATCATCAATTGCCAACTTTTGACATGTTATTTGCCCTTAAATTAAGAAAAGATTGGTCTAACAACCCTTTTATTTTAGATATACACTTGCATATAGTTCCTTTGTTAATCAAAATTTATAATTATTTACTATTTATGAATTAATTTGAAAAAGTATTTGTACATCAATTGAATTGGTTGATAATAATTTTGAAAGTATTATATTAGTATCTTATGCTTGTGTAAGTTCTTGTTCAATGAAATTTGGGTCAACATGTGTATATATATATCTAAGTTGATTCCAACACTTTTTAGCTCACCTGGCCCAAAGGGCCAAGTGAGCTTTTCTCATCACTTGGCGTCCGTCGTCCGTAAACTTTTACAAAAATCTTCTCCTCTGAAACTACTGGGCCAAATTTAACCAAACTTGGCCAATATCATCATTAGGGTATCTAGTTTAAAAAATGTGTCCGGTGACCCGGCCAACTAACCAAGATGGCCGCCATGGCTAAAAATAGAACATAGGGATAAAATGTAGATTTTGGCTTATATCTCTGAAACCAAAGCATTGAGAGCAAATCTGACAAGGGTAAAAATGTTTATTAGCTCAAGATCTATCTGCCCTGAAATTTTCAGATGAATCGAACAACCCGTTGTTAGGTTGCTGCCCCTGAATTAGTAATTTTAAGGAAATTTTGCCTTATTTGGTTATTATCTTGAATATTATTATAGATAGAGATAAACTGTAAACAGCAATAATGTTCAGCAAAGTAAGTTCTACAAATAAGTCAGCATGACCAAAATGGTCAGTTGACCCCTTAAGGAGTTATTGCTCTTTTATAGTCAATTTTTCGTAAATTTTTGTAATCTTTTACAAAAATCTTCTCTGAAACTACTAAGATGAATTTAATTAAAGTTGTAAACAATCATCATTAGGGTATGTAGTTTAAAAATTGTGTTTGATGACCCCGCCCTCAAACCAAGATGGCCGACATGGCTAATAATAGTACATAGGGTAAAATGCAGTTTTTGGCTCATATATCTAAACCCAAAGCATTTCTAGCAAATCTTTCAAAAACAAAATTGTTCATTAGGTCAAGATCTATCTGCCCTTAAATTTTCAGACCATTCAGGCAACCCGGTTGGGTTGCTGCCCCTGAATTGGTAATTTTTAGAAATTTTTTCAGCTTTTGGTTATTATCTTGAATATTATTATAGATAGAGATAAACTGTAAAGAGCAATAATGTACAGCAAAGTAAGACCTACAAATAAGTCACATGACCAAAATGGTCAATTGACCCCTTAAGGAGTTATTGCCCTTTATAATAAATTTTTAACAATTTTCATAAATTTTGTAAATTTTTACAAAATAATTTCCACTGAAACTACAGGGCCAAGTTCATTATAGATAGAGATAATTGTAAGCATCAAGAATGTTCAGTAAAGTAAGATCTACAAACACATCACCATCACCAAAACACAATTTTGTCATGAATCCACCTGTGTCCTTTGTTTAATATGCACATAGACCAAGGTGAGCGACACAGGCTCTTTAGAGCCTCTAGTTTGAAATGGTATTACTCCAATTCTTTCCATAGGCAAGTAAGAGTCAGTATGATTATCAACTGCCATGATTTTCGAATAATTACACTCAAAGGTGTAAGTATTAATTGGAAACAACCCAAGTCTTAATTCACCACAGTTAATATCTCATGACCTATTACATGATTAAATAAACACAATTTATTATACCTCAGTATGTTTTTTCTATATAAAAAAGAATTAAATATTTGTGCTATTTCATTCCACAGACTATTTGCCAGTCAATAGTTTCAAAGACTTTTACCCCGGTTAATAGTTTTATCAACATATTTCCCGGATTTTTTCATACTAATTTTTCATTTGACAAAGATGACGTCATTGACTTTTTTGCTTGGATTTGAGCGCTTGGCAACGCGTTCAACCCTGAATTATCGTAAATGGTATAATCTGTATGTGTCTGTCGTCGTAATTTCAAATTTTAAAATATATTACCTACCAGAAGCAATTAAAAAAGAAAAACTACATATTTTAAGATCTAAAACAAAACAAATGTATGGTATGGGACTGTCGTCGTCTTCATAATCTATGATTGCTTTGGTATACAGTAATGTATTTTAGCTAGCGTTTATTATATGCACGGAATTATTACACAAGGATTCCTGGTCTTGATTACAGTAAATAAGATATTTACAAATACACACGGGGAAAAAAGGAACCAAATAGTTCATCTTGTGCATCATCGTTCAAGTGACTATTTGGTTTTTTTTTCAAAGTGGTGTATATAAACTTTTTAGAAAGTTGTTTTGTTCGGTATAATAAAACACTTAATGACTGGTTATGAGTGTAATAGCAAGTTTGTTGTCCCTTTGATACTAACTATTGCCCTCGGCTTCGCCTCGAGCAATAGTTGGTATCTCAGGGACAACAAACTTGCTATTACCCTCATAACCAGTCAATAGGTGTATATTATTACACACCTAACTGAATACACACATTCTTGACCTCAATAGTAAACATACAAATGTATAATTTATTTTGATCTACACTTCATTAAAATATTCTGTTAATTTTGCTAGCTAGCTGAATGATTACTCAGTTTTGGGTTTTTTTCAAAGAAAAGACAAAAAATGAAAAAAAAATATTTATAAAAAATGCAAGCAAATTTTATTTCACTTGTAAATTCAGTGTCATGATCATCTGACATAAGTCAATAATCAAGTTCTAATTAATTAGTTTCAATTATCAGAAATTTGGTTGAAACAATAAACAAAATTGCATAACTCTTACCTGAGCATTTTCTGCAATAAAATTTATTTGTTTGTTCTACATTTATATCCCATTAAATTGCTATTTAACAGTAATTGGAAATATCTCAGCATTAGGTATTTGTTTATTTAAATTTGAATACAGGAAATGTATTTTTTCTTAATGAAGAATGAACACCAAAAATAGTTATTATTTTTTTTTTATTTTTGTTGTTGAGAAAGTGCATTTCCAAGGCCTCTTTCAGTAAATTTTTAAGCCAGTTATTATTAAAGGCAGATAAAAAAATGTATTACTTGTTTGAAGATTACCCTTTCCGTTCTTGTCAATACCATTAAA